ATGTATGTATGTATGTATGTATGTATGTATGTATGTATGTATGTATGTATGTATGTATGTATGTATGTTGCATGTATGTATGCAATTGCATGTACGGAGTACCGGCTCCTGAACCATCATAATGAGCACCAGGTGGCTCTAGCGACCAAAACGATGCGACTTGCAAGTTGCATCTTGCAATGCATGTGCGCAAATACAATGGGACCGTGCGAACTTAACTGACCCATAGACAACTAGAAGCTAGGCAGAAGGACAATGCGAAAGAATTATAAGCTCGGACCGATAACTGAACTGCGAATGACCCAGAACAACAACAAAGTACTGAAGACCAAATATGAAAGAACGGTACTCCTTGGCCAAACCTAAGGACAGTATTCAGAGTTTGGGAGCTTGCTTACTCAGTCGCCACATCGCAGTTCTGTAGCCTAGTCTTACAGCATGTACATTATTATACTGCAGTTTTACAGTTACAACGTTTACGTTGACAACTTAGTCAATCACGTGCTAATTTTTAAACTATGTACTATGATTGAGCATTTCGTTCCTGCATTTACGGGTATGCTGAAAACAGTACTGTTTTATCTTCACAGAGCCAGGTCTGGGTATAAGTTTACTGCGGTGGCCGAGCCGTGCAAATCAAACTCTCACAAGGTTAGATGATACATAACATTACAAGGGACAAAATGATGAGTTTATATACTCGACGATTGGCGCGTAGTAAATGGCGATCTTATATACTAATGTCTAAAGGGCATGATTTGACTTGATTACGTGGCGATGAGTAGTCGATTAGACCATTACGTACAAACAAAGTTTTCGGTCACGTCAATGCGCGATTGCCTCATGGCGATCACTTATGATCCTCCCTAACAAGTATCAAACACGGTTTATATGGTCAATCGAATGACTGACCGGCGCCAAGGTTTCGACCTATGGTTCACGGTCTTTCCGGTCAATCATTCGATAGATCATATTGTTTGCTCTGTTTATAAATGAACCGAGTTTTATGCTGTTTTCAGTATTTGCACCATCATTGCTCACCGGATTATGTGATATATGGTATGATTCACAAACTGCTATGCTTAGTGTGAATAAAAAAGAATACCGGTAAAATGGCACCACAGACGCCAACAGGTTCACAGCGTGTAAAGCACACGTAGTTGCCGTCGACCGGGATCGTTTTTCCGCACACCTTGTCAGCAATGCCAGCGAAGTATCGAAGCCACTGTATCGCAATTTTCACATCACCTTCTGCCTGAGGAAATGGCTTTCCAACATCCAAACATTCGAGAGACTGAAATTATTAAAAAATATTCAACAACAATGTGAAGCAAAGCCAAGATTATTTAAATTTACTGAAAGCCCGCTTAAGTTCTTTTCTACCAAATCAGCCAATTTCCATAACAGCTTGCCTCGCGCTGAGGCATCCAGCTGTCGCCATTCGCTGTCCCTCGCAAAGGCCTTGCGCGCTGCGGCAACGGCAGCATCAATATCTGCCTTGTCTCCTTCCTGTAGGACAAAACGCGTCAATTCGTATTGTACATTTATGATAAATGATGA